TCAGGTTGTTGAGCCGTAGGCTTTGGTCGAAGAGCCTAGTCGTCCTGTCTGGGTCTGGGTGCCGTGGTACTATCTTAGCACACGTACAACCGTGAACTGCACACATACGCATAGTATCATTCCACATCAGCCGTCTTGGGGTGCCATCAGCCCTGCATACACGAGGTGGGTAAGCGAATGAATACTACTGCTGACACCTCCCTTCTTTCTGTTTCATATGCCTTCACTGTCCCCACGCAGTTACTACATCACCCCATTTAGGCTCACCAGTTAGGACTGCTGACTCCGTTTATCCTGCATCGGTTTTGCAAGCAACATCCGGAGCTTACATCCTCAGGCATCTCGAGATCAATCTTCAAATCTTGACGCCGGTCTATCTTGTTCTCATTGTTCGCACTCTGAAGCAAGCAGGACAACAAGTTGCTCTTGTTCTCACACTGGACTCGCTCGACATTGGTGTGTACTGTGTATCAGAAAGAAGAACTCACGATGCGAGCGCAGTTGTTGGGATAGCTGCCCCATCACTCTCCACTCGTTTCTGGTTTCGCACCTCTGACGATCAAAAGGCTGCTGTGCCAGGATGTGCAGGGGTCAGCATCAACCAGGGGGATGGATCCTTGCTTAATTGGATAGCTGTTGATATTCGCCTCTGTGTGGTTCTTGGGGCAATGTTTTTGAAAATGTCGCAGGCGAGAACTTGATCGTCATCTGTTTTTCGTGTCTGCTTCTGCCCCAACAGTGTTTAGCTCCGACGTCACCAAGACAGGCTTGAGCGCCCTTCTATGGCGGACTAAAAGCTCATATATCGGTGTTCTTGTGGGAGGTTTGCATACACCAGTGGGCAGACTTACCGTTCCGTTGGGTGGTCAACTTCGGTAGCTACAGAAAGTGGTGAGTGATTGCTTCAGCCATGTGCTGAGTACAGGTGGTTTTCATGCAGCACTAACTTCCGAAACACCCGAATCCACCTGGCCACATAGAGACTTTCACAAGGATTTCGGCTACAAACTCAAATCGATTACATCACCAGCAGTTACCGATGGCGCAGATCAATAACTGAGTGCCACACGTTTGTGGTTGCCGACCACGCGACACTCTGGAATCGCTTCTTTCTTCCTTTTACAGGGCCGTGGACAAATAGTTTAGTAACGGAGAGACTGGCAGATCCGGATGTTAGATGAACCATCTTCCAACTAATCCCTCATCAGGTCTGAATTCATGCTGGAACGAGATCATTACCTCTTCGCTCAGTGCTGGGACTTTCGCCGGAAGCACGGCACTCGAGCACTGTCTGAGGCAGAACAGTATTGCTGCTTGAATCTCGAAGAAGTATTTCAGCCCATCCCGAATATAACTTGACCCGACGAATTATCAGATTTCAAGTGAAAGTGGGTGCGCGAGTCTATTTTGAAGCCTGGTGCACCCGGAAGGCCAAGAAAAGGGAGAATGCCTGAAGTTGATCCGCGCCACTAGTTCCCGGTAAACACTTGTGAGCGAAACTATCATGGACCAGGCTGGAGCAACCATGTTCAATGAGGAAGAACGTTTCGACCGGTGGGACGGGTACTTCGACAACAGCTATCGTGACCACCAGCTTTCACTCATCTGCAGCCTACAAATGAAGTAGAACCCTTGACCTTGGTCCTGGAACCCCTTGCGGCTTCGGAAGTTTATGGCTGCATATGTTCTCTCAAGCGCCACAGAGCTCCTCGTCTAGATGACCTTCCACTCGCATTGTTCAAAGATGAGGTCAAAGTCCCCATTAAGCGCTTATCTGACCTGTTTGCGTGCATTTGGAAAAAGAAGCCTATCCCCGAAACCTGAGGAGAATCTGTGATGGTGCTCATTTGCAAAAAAGGGGGCCCATGGAGAGTGTCGTAAATATACGGTCATCAGGTAGATTACAGTCGCAACGTGGTAATCGGCGTCAATCGCACTTCGTTGTCTATGGTTGTTCGTGAAACAGTGACCCGAGAGCAGTTAACAAGATTCCAGCCTGGTTGGGATTGCTTTGACTAAATCCTCACACTCCGATGTCAGGTGCTAGAACACTGCCGTACGTTCGAACGACCCACGATTTTAGCATTTCTGTATTTCCAAGTCGCATCTGGCTCTGTTGACCGGTCTGTTCTCCCTGACACACTTGCCCATCAAGAAATGCCTCGGAAGTTTGCGAACGTAAGCATTAGTGTTATACGCTGGTGTTATAGTGTCGATGATAGGCTTGATTCCAACGCGATACTAAGCCGACGCGCTGGGTGTGATGTAGGCTTCTTTGTATCTTATAATGATTTCCGTCCCCTTCGTGCTCAGTCATGACCGATGGCCTTTGCTTTTTGCTCTTTTCCAGATCAAGACGCTCCATGTATGGGAGGAGAAATCATTCAGCCGGTGTATATCGAACCGTGTGGGTTGAACGAATCTACTTGGGGTCCATCACCATTTCCCGAACATGAAGAATCTGGATCAACAATTGTTGGAGAGAAGCCGCTCGTCAGTTCGCCTACCGAAGCTGTTGGTTTAAGACAGACAACTTCGGGTAAAGCTGATCATCCAGATTTTATAACAAGTTCCTGAAATAGTTTGACGGACATGTCTTGGTCAATCAATCCCTACATCCGTCTCCTACTGAGACGAATTAGAATCGATTTTCCATTACTTTACTGCCTAATCACAGTGCGTGACCAACGGAACTTTCCTGTTTCCATGCTGGAACCATCAGGTTTGCGATCCTGAATTCTGCGACATCCCCTGACAAGCTCTGGTGGGTATTTTGACTGAATGTCGTCCTTTGATCGCAGTCGCACATATTCCGGGTGCCGTGCTACTGTTCGGTATTAGAATCCTGTGCAATGTTTTTGCTTTGGGACCGACCTTTTATACGGTCATTAAAGTGGCATTATCAGTTCACTCCTTTTCTCCACCACACCGTGTTGTTTCCGGTCGATTATCCATGCCATTCCGCAAATTACCTACTCTAGCCTACGTGGTTTGCAACCCAACCAGAATGGCAAACATCCTGAAATTCCTACAACAGGTTTTAGTTTGATCAAACAGTGGTGTGGAGGAAAAAAACTTCGATGTTAGCAGTCGCTTACTGGCACATAGGAAAGCTACTTAGGGTAGCGCCACGCAGACGTCACATCTGAGCACTTTAAACTGTTGTTCGCGAGGCATACCGACGAGAATGTGCTGTGCCATCACGCAGCGCCGCTGTTAAGTCAGAATATCCCAAAGCCACGCGGGATAACTTCGTGTAAGTTTGGATTAACTGCCTGTTTTCCATTCCGCGGACAGTAAATCCAAGCCTGGTTGCGCACTTATTTCCTTCTTATGCGGTATGTACCTGCATCTTCCTGTTGGATTTGTTGAACTTCCCCTATTTCCAAACCTTGGCGCGATTGTTTCTATTAGAATCCTCGGATTTGAACTGCCCAAGTAGTTTGTCCTCGGAAGGAGAAAACCACACCAAAACAAACTCCAAAATATGTTGTTCCTACCCTGCTGCATCACGCCATTTGGATATCGCAGAACCATTTGTTACAGTGATCGATTCATATATGTGTAGTTGATGGTCTTGAAAAAAGTTCCCCAGGCTGTTTCAATAGTTTCTGAGACTCTCAGGTAACGCACTGGCCACGCAGTAATAGCTTTTGAGGCAACAAGCTTGAAATTGATCCATCATCATTGTCAGTTGTCAAAGTTGTCAGTCGAAATTTATCCCCAATGGAAGATATGGGTCTCCATACGATGTTCACTTAGGATTCCACTGGGCCAATTCTATGGGCGTTGTTTCTATGAGGGAACACTGTTGCGTACAGCGCTGGTGTACTTGACGAATCGACTCCGTGTTTCACAAACCAAACACACCTGTCGCACCGCACACTGGACAGGTACAGATGACTATAAAGTGCCACCAAGCGACTCATGCAGAGCGATACAAATACGGAACGTGGGATGTATTTTGAAACTAGAAATTTTTAATTAGAAGTCGTGAGAAACGCCTCCGTGATAGATGGCCGAGGCCAAAGGGACCATCATTCCGGTGTAAGCAAAGTCCAGGGAGCACAACTGGCGAGCTCGTTCAGAACAGACATTGCCACCTAGTTGATTAGTGAGGATGTCGGAGGATTTGTGAACAGAAGTGGTGTCAACCTGGGAACAACGAACCAGCTTACTCTATTTCATGAATTCCTGTAACACTTACTCACTCTTTTGGAATAACGAAACCCTCCAACTAATCATCGACTTTTGACCTTACCTGCACTGTCTCAAAACTCGGTCGACATTTTGTAACTTACTTACTTGACCTGAAAAGTTTTTTGTGTGTCAAAAGTCACACGTTATTTGTTATTAAACTAATCTATTGCCTCCCAAACTTCTTCAAGACCACAGCTTCCCATTAGGTTTCATACCTTTTCCAATAGATTGAAGTTCTTTACTTAACCACTTTTGTTGACCCTATTTGAAGCGATCGTGTTATGGATTTAAAATGCTGAAGATTAAAGGCTTGGGAGGGCGCGGGGGTGGAGTATAATAGATATAGCGTGTGCAATCCCTAAAGTTCGATAACTTTCGCTGCGTTACTCGTTATTTTCTGCATGACGAATGTATACTAATTGTCTCTTTATCCCTGTTGTTTTTTTTCATTTCTCGCGTTCCATATTCAATTTCTAAAAACGCTTCCGTGTTCAATTACTACGTTGACCCGCATTGTTCCCCCCCCCCCAAAAAAAAAAAAAA